TGGTCTGATGGTGGAGAGATTACGAGGATTTAAAAGAAGTGAAGAGTCTGTGCATGCAGAGAACATGGCATGCTTAGTGCTGGACGTGACAAGCAGGAATGGGTCGAGCAGATAAGCTGGACGTCGTGTGAGTTTCAGAGGCTAAATATCAGCTTGAAAAAAAAAAAAAAATGCTGCTGTTGATAAACTAAGGAGTCAATTTGAAGCTTTTTAATTAGAGAAGGGACGCCCGTCCAAAAATAAAGGACGGCTGTCCATCCCATATGGACAGGCGTCCATTACATACGGACTGTCGTCCTTACACAATGGACGGTCGTTCATTCATTGTGGACGGACGTCCATTCCAAATTTTTTTAAAAATTTTATATTTTTTATTTCATTTACCAATGGACGGGCATCCTTTAAATAAGGACGCCCGTCCATAGTAAATGGACTCCCGTCCATACGTTATGGACGACCGTTCATTAGAAAAAAGTTAATAACGTAAAATGCATTGATTGGTCTGAGTCAGTATACACGTAAGCCGGTACAAAATTTTGGTGTAAAAATGTCGGTGTCTGTAGTATTGTTGGGTACAATAATTGAGTATTCAAAGATAATATCAAGTCAGTCTCTTTCTCGTGGGTTATCTTTGCTCTGAAAATGAAGATTATAATCAGAATAAAGGTTCAGGATCAGAATCCCGAAAATAAAGATTACTTTTCTTAATATATAATTAATTTATCATGTACGAATGTCGCTAATTTAAGTTTGATTACAAAATACTTACCTTTTTTTTAATATACCATGAGTTGTCATACTATAATATTATAATTAATTAAATTTTTAATCATATAATTAAGTAATGTACTAATATTCATCAATTTATCATATATAATTACTCATGCACTATAGATATATTTAGAACTATGTAATTGAACTAAATATTATTCACTCAAATCTACTATTTTATTCAAAAATAATTATTTTAATAGAATTAAAACACTTTTAATTTGACCATAATTCCAATTATACACTTAATTAATCAAATAATTAATTAACATTTTAATATATATTTAAAATATAAAATATAAAATATATTATTTACTATTATTAAATATAATTCACCCAACCTCACCCGCCCACGTGTCTGTTGTCTTCACTCTTCTTGCATTTTAAATTTTTGTGCAAAATTACAATAAACCCTCATACTTTACTGATATATATTGTGATTTAGTTCTAGTTCCCAGACAGGTTCCACTCTAGGTACCTAACCTCGACCAATCCCAGGTTGCTGGTTCGGTTCCGATTCCTGCTCATGTAAGAACCAGAATCGAACCTACCCATTGTCGGTTCCAAAAAAATGGAACTAGAACCTATCTTGTGAAGGTCGGTTTCAGTTCTACTCAGAGCAGTTACCCATGCTCATCCCTAGTTTGGTTGGTTGGTTGGTTGGTTGTCTTATTGTTTTCTATTTCCATAAATGAATATGAACAGTCGAATCTTCTAATTATCTGTGTATAATTAAATTAATTAAATTTTTGAAAGTTAATTATTATAATTAATCAAGTATTTAACATCAAACCCACTTGCCATATATAAATTCATTTCAATTTAATTCANGATTTTTCTTTTGCTTCTGGCGTTTCTTTTTAATTGTGATTTCTTTTATAGGTTAGGTCGTACATGCCATCTGCTCTGGCTCCTCACGTGCCTTCATTTTGTCGTAATCTGATTGCGATTCTGGGTACTTTGAGTTTTGATGACAGTCTTACTCCAGGAGATGATTACTTGCTAAGGTTGAAAACCGGAAAGAGGAGTTTGCTGATTTTCTGTGCTTTGGTTACCCGGCATCGGAAGTATTCTGATAAGTACTACCCTGATTTGCCATTTAATTATGTTATATTAAACCATTAGTGGTTAGTCTTCATTTTAGTTGCCATATCATTTCAGGTTAATGCCAGACATCACAAACTGTGTTTTACAGATAGTCAAATACAGCACAAAAATCAGTGTAAGTTTTTCTTTTAATTTATTTATTCTCAATTACTTCACAGTTGGCATGTACTTTTGACTGTATGCAATATGTGTTATGAAGAAGGGACTCTGTTGACTGTCTGAAAATGTTACCATTCATTACCTATTAGATCGCAAAACTTCATTTTTGAGTGTGCTACCCCCTTTTTTCTTTTAAAAGAGAAAGAAATCTATAATTTTCTTCAATATTGGTGCTTTCATTTGATTCTGTATACTGTGACGAATAAATCAAGTTTTACTTTATTAATGGCTTATTGTCCTTGTCGCTTTCTTGTGTTGCTTTGTTGGATTTAAGAATTTGAATAATGATTTTCATTGTGCAGAAGCTTGATTTCCTGCAAGAGAGGATCATATCATTAGCTTTTGATGTGATTTCACACATTCTGGAGACAGGCCCCGTAATTTCTTCTACATTTGTTGGTTTACTATTCAATTATACAATAAGTGGTTTCTCTTGACAAGATCTTACTAATTATCTGGTTTGGATGAGGACCATTGCATTTCTACAATTTTGAAGTTTTCAGTTCATTTGAAACAGGGATGGAGATTAGTTTCACCCCATTTTTCATTTTTGTTGGACAATGCAATCTTCCCAGCATTGGTACTAAATGAGAAGGTATGACATCTCATGGTTAAAAGAGAGAAACAATATGATATCTGGATAGGAAAAAACATGTTCACTATCATTTGAAAATATCTTTGTTAAAGTTTGAAGTTGACTGATAGTAATTATCTAGTTCTTATGGCTGTGATTGTGAGCAGGATATTTCAGAATGGGAAGAAGATGCAGATGAGTACATACGGAAAAATCTTCCATCTGAACTTGTATGAGAATATATGATCTTTGGGACTTAATTATTATTCTAATTATTATCGTCATTGATCTTTTCTCACTTTGTTGTCAGGAAGAAATTTCCGGATGGAGGGAAGATTTATTTACAGCCAGAAAAAGTGCTATAAACTTACTGGGTGTTATTTCAATGTCAAAGGTTTTATTTGATTGTCCTTAATGAAAGTCTGAGCTATGTGTTTCAATAAAATTGCTGTTCAATTTCCCTTTAATGCCTTCAGGGACCTCCAATTGGAGCTTCTGCTAATGGTTCTTTGGCTCTATCCAAGCGTAAGAAAAGTGAAAAGAGTAGGAGAAATAATCTGCATCGTTCTATGGGGGAGTTGCTGGTGCTTCCATATCTGTCAAAGTTTCCCGTTCCATGTGATGGAAATGCCTCTGATTCTAGAATTCTGAAGGAGTAAGTTCGCTAGCATGTCTCATATATATTATAATGGTCCATATTTTGTTTCAATGCCCCATTTTTTAACTTAAGCTCCTGCAAGTTATCCTAAATCATATCACTAAAAACTGTATGTAACATAAACACAACTACTAGGTTTTGGTTGCAATAGCGTGTGGTTTTGTTTTCTCTTGTTCTTTGTCATTTTCATATGTAGTCATTTCAAAGTTCAAGCTCTCTTATTTTGATTTTTTTTTTTTTTAAATTGATGAAGTATTTTGGTCATGTTTATTGAACAAAGTTTGAGCAAATTGTTTTGTGGCTGTCTGGTATTCAAATAAATAAGAATAGAAGAAAAGGTGATGAAATCAAATAAATGAGGATCTTCGTTTTATGAAATCTTAGCCATGGCAGGTGTATTTCTCTTTTTCCTTGTTCTTTTTGTGGTTCTGGTAATTCTTTTCTCTGTTAATATGCTTTGTATTCCTTCTTTTCATTCATTCTCATCATGATGTTCCCATAATCATCATTTTCTTCTATGGAGATGCCTAATCACTTCTAACCTAAATGCCTATCAGTTTCTTTTTTGAAATTTCTTTAGTATCTTTTGTGCTTTTTTATTTATCTTATTCTGTTGGTATGTCAATTATGGCAGTTATTTTGCAGTTCTGATGGCTTATGGTGGCCTGCAAGATGTAAGGAAATCTGTTTCTATTGTTCAACCATTGGTGAAGTGTGGTTTAGTGAGAATTTACAAATGAGGATTTTCAATTGTGATATCACATTTACAGTTCCTAAGGGAGCAGAAACCTGAATTCACAACAAATCTGGTTCGTAATCGGGTGCTACCATTGTATGCTATGTCTGTGTGCCTGCCGTACTTGGTTGCCTCAGCGAACTGGGTCCTTGGAGAGCTAGGGTCTTGTCTGCCAGAAGTAAGACAGTTTACTGCTTTTGAGCTTTTCTTTTCTCATTTCATTTGTGCAAAAGCATTGTTTTTTTAAGCATTCATTTAATTTCACGTTTGTTTAATATTTCGATACACTTTCATAAGTGCTGATATTCATTTCTAATTTTCTGATTTATCATAATCTTCATCATTATACTCTGACTTTTCAGTCTTGCTTTCAGGATATGAGTGCTGATATATATTCCTCATTGCTTAAGGCATTGACAATGCCAGATAAGGGGGACACTTCATTTTATCCTGTGCGGGTTTCTGCAGCTGGGGCAATCATTGGGATACTTGAAGTAAGTGTCCAAATCAACATTTTGGATTGCTTAATCAGGAATTTGTGCTTCTGGTTATTCACCTGGCTTCTATGTTATTTTTTTTTTGCTTCAGAATGACTACCTGCCACCTGAGTGGTATCCACTTCTTCAAGTTGTAGTTGGAAGTATTGGTAATGAAGATGAAGAGAATTCCATTTTATTTGAGCTTCTCAGTTCTGTGGTGGGGGCTGCAAATGAAAATGTTATAGATCATATTCCTTTTATCATTTCATCATTGGTTGGTGCAATCTCAAAGCATATACGTCCTAATTCAGAGCCATGGCCACAAGTATGTGAAGATTCCTGTGCCTAGGCTGTTTAGTTAATCATTTCAAATAAAGTGTTCCTGAAAACAGAAAAGGAGGAACAAGAATGAAAAACTGTTGTAACATTTAAAAAGAGCATTTGAGAATTTTGTCTATTATGATTGTTATTACTGTGGCAAATTTCAAATGATCAAGGATGTTGCATTCTTATTAGGTTGTTGAGCGGGGCTTTGCGGCATTAGCACTAATGGCTCAGTCTTGGGAGAACTTCATGCCTGAAGAGGTTGAGCAGAGCAAGTCAAGTGAAAAGTGGAAGTCTAGTCAAGCTGCCATTGCTAAAGCCTTGTCAGCACTCTTGCAACAGGCTTGGCTTGCATGCATTCATCCCTTGGTTAGTCTTAAGTTCCCTGTGATATATTAAAAACATGATTCTTTCTCTCAATGACCGACTTGGATCATATTTTTTGTTTTATTTATTTTTAAATAATATTCTACTTGAATATTTTCTTTTTTCTCATTCCAAAGGGGGAAATTTTTTTGTTTTGTTTGACTTAAAGATTTTTATTACTCTGAATCCGTTTAAGATCAGTTTCATAATCTACATAGTCTGTGGATTTAGCTTTGCATTTGTCAGAAATGTTTGCTCATTTAACATGTAAAGGATACATCACTAGGATCAGGAAGGTGAAGTTTCTACCCCTTTCTCGTGCATAGACGATTCTTCAACATTGCTACGGTCTATCATGCTCTCTGTCTCTGCAAGCAATGCCATTGGAGAGCTTAAATTATCAGAGTTATTATTAGTTTGGGCTGATATGATAGCGGACTGGCATGCTTGGGAAGAAACAGAGGATTTGTCTATATTTGACTGCATTAAGGAGGTCGTTAGTCTACACAGTACATACGGGCTCAAGAACTTTGTTGTCAGACAGATGCCATCCCCTCCTGCTCCACCTGTGCCCCAGCGGTCAATAATTGAAGGCATTTCTGCCTTTCTAAGTGAGGCCATTCTACAATATCCATCTGCAACCTGGAGGGCCTGCTCATGTGTGCATACACTGTTACTTGTTCCAAATTACTCCTCTGAAACAGAGAGTGTGAAGCAATCGTTGGCAGTTGTTTTCACCCGAGCAGCATTTTCTCATTTTAGAGCAATTCAAAGCAAGCCTTGCCCACTTTGGAAGCCTTTGGTGCTTGCTATATCATCATGCAACCTCTGTTGTCCTGATATCGTGGATGGAATTTTAAATAAGGATGAAGATGGAGGCTTCACAATCTGGGCATCTGCACTGGCTTCTTTCTGTAGTAGCAACTTTGAACCTAGTCTTTGCACAGAGTCTGAGATTAAGTTAGCTGGTTAGTTCCTTTCTTCCTGAATTTTGAATTACTTGGAGGAAAGCCGTCTCAATAGTGTAGCCACATCTTTGGATATGTACAGCTAGTTCTCTTTCTAGCATATTGCTTAATAATCCTTTCTTTTTTTCAAAAAATAATGTCGCCTATTTGTTGGTTGATGTGTGGCAAAATGTGGCTGAATGTTGTTTTTCATATAATTGATACTGTTTGACATTTAGATTTTTCTGATTGTTGATGTTTCACTGTTGTGTTAAATGGTACCTTGGGCCCCGAACTGACTGATCAGGAGCTTCACGGTTCAACATTTCTGCTGGGTGGGGATTTGACATATATAGTTGCTCCAGAACTGTTGTCATGTTCACAATACTGCTATTTGATTTGTGTTGTGTCATATATNGCGGACTGGCATGCTTGGGAAGAAACAGAGGATTTGTCTATATTTGACTGCATTAAGGAGGTCGTTAGTCTACACAGTACATACGGGCTCAAGAACTTTGTTGTCAGACAGATGCCATCCCCTCCTGCTCCACCTGTGCCCCAGCGGTCAATAATTGAAGGCATTTCTGCCTTTCTAAGTGAGGCCATTCTACAATATCCATCTGCAACCTGGAGGGCCTGCTCATGTGTGCATACACTGTTACTTGTTCCAAATTACTCCTCTGAAACAGAGTGTGTGAAGCAATCGTTGGCAGTTGTTTTCACCCGAGCAGCATTTTCTCATTTTAGAGCAATTCAAAGCAAGCCTTGCCCACTTTGGAAGCCTTTGGTGCTTGCTATATCATCATGCTACCTCTGTTGTCCTGATATCGTGGATGGAATTTTAAATAAGGATGAAGATGGAGGCTTCACAATCTGGGCATCTGCATTGGCTTCTGTCTGTAGTAGCACCTTTGAACCTGGTCTTTGCACAGAGTCTGAGATTAAGTTAGCTGGTTAGTTCCTTTCTTCCTGAATTTTGAATTACTTGGAGGAAAGCCGTCTCAATATTGTAGCCACATCTTTGGATATGTACAGCTAGTTCTCTCTCTAGCATATTGCTTAATAAGCCTTTCTTTTTTTCAAAAAATAATGTCTCCTATTTGTTGGTTGATGTGGGCAAAATGTGGCTGAACATTGTTTTTCATATAATTGATACTGTTTGACATTTAGATTTTTCTGATTGTTGATGTTTCACTGTTGTGTTAAATGGTACCTTGGGCCCCTAACTGACTGATCAGGAGCTTCACGGTTCAACATTTCTTCTGGGTGGGGATTTGACATATATAGTTGCTCCAGAACTGTTGTCATGTTCACAATACTGCTGTTTGATTTGTGTTGTGTCATATATATAGCACTTCTAGGACTCCTCAAATGGCAACCAAAAATTTTAGTCCTTGTGATTTCACTTTTTTTGTATGGGTAGATGGCTATTCAATAACATTATATTAATACTCCAACCTTTCCAGGGTTGAAAGCTGAATGTCAACTTTGGTTGACAGTCTTTTTCTCTCTTATCTTCTTTCACTGCTCTCTTTCCTGAATTATTTCAGTATAAGGGCCTATCTAATGGCTGTTAATTTGCAGTATTAACACTGGCCAAAGTGGTTGAACGGCTTCTAGGATTAGGGAATCCAGGGGGCAATTTGTTACAGGATTGCTATGCTTCACTAATGGAGGCATCTGTGCGGCTGAAAGAAGTACAGGAAGAAACAGAAAATGATGAAGAAGATGACGAGGCTGAAGATGAAGATGAAGATGAAGATGATGATGAGGAAAGCCAAGATGATGATGAGGTTTGACTTTCAAAATATCTTGTACTGTTCTAAATTCCAAGGGATGCTATCATTTACTGTTTGCCCATTATTCTTTAGTTGAGGCTTAAAAATAAATTGGCAAATAAAGCTGAAGTTAGATGTATATGGGAGATTAGGTTTTTATGTTTGAAGTACATTAATTCTTGTCCCATGTAGTCAATATCTGGAAGGTAAACATTGTGTTTGGTTTTGTTGATTAGGATTCTGAAGGTGATGAATGCGAAGAAACTGAAGAAGAGTTTCTGGAAAGGTATGCTCAAGCAGCTGTTGACTTGGAAAATAATACACTTGTTGAAGAAGGAGACGTAGAAGATCAAGAATATGACATTGATTTGGGTAAGCCTCTTAATTCATTGTTTTACGAGAAAATTGATGAAAAATCTTTTGCAGGCTATTTGATGGTTGAAATTAATATATTTGTGCTTGAAGCTAATGTATATAACTAAGTTATATTGCAAATTGAGAAAATTGGGCGTTGATCTTTTCGAAGTTTTTTGACAGGGATTTTAGCTCAATGTTCACTTCTGAAATTTCCTTTTTGTGCATAAAGCATGGATTTGTGCCTCATCAGACAAGAGTTTGACACATTAACTTTTCAGATATAATCCTCTTAGCTAAACTCTATTAGGTAGTATCGTATTTTAGGAAACTCAGCCTAGCAGCTAAGAGAGATAGTTTATTCGTTTCAAGTTTCAATATATGTAATACTTAAGACATGATTCACATCTTTGCATTTTCAAGAGAGGAAACCAACCCGCCATAACATTAGCAGCCAGTGCGGTTGATCAGATCCACGGATTCTATGAATATAACCATAAGAATACAATATCATTTTTCATATACTGTTGTGTTTATATGTGCATACTTAAGTGCATCCATGTGTAAAAGCATGTGAAAACAATCACACCAAGGATAGATCATACATATAGATGTTGCTGCATATATAGGCCAAGGGCTATGAACTAATGTACTTTATGCAGGGCCTCTTATATGCAAAACAGTTGTGAATTATTTACTTATCTGCTATTCTGATTGTGATTATAGGTTCTTTAGAAGAGGTTGACCAACTGAATGTCGTGGCATCATTGATAGAGAGATACCACAATGTTCTCATGCAAGGACAGGCATTGCTATCACAGGAGCTAATTTCAAAATTCCGGAATGCCTTCCCTCAGTACAATTTTTTTTCCAGTTATCAAAGTGAGATGGGGGATTTTGTAAAAATTTTCCAGGGCTGACTGTTAGATGCCCAAATACTCTTCTCATTATTTAAATTGGCTTGTTTTTATATTATTTTTTGTGTGAGTGTTATTCACAAAAAAATATGAGTAGTTCTACTTCTATACAAGTTAATAAACTAAAGTCTTGTTTTTTTTTTTTTTTTAAATAATAAATTTATTCTTAAATTAAGTTATTAAACATACCTGTATTTTCTTATAAACACTTCTGACACCTTAATTATGTAAATATAAACCTTAATTTTTTATATTCGTATTCAAAGTTCAAACTAATTTTTTTGATGAAGTTTCTAATTCAATCTAGTTTGAACTTTTTGATAAATATGAAATATTTTGTAGAATTAAGAAATTATGTCTTTATGGGAGAACATAATTTTGAAAATTGTGTTAGCTCTTTCAAAAATTAACCGAGCTGTGTGTAAGTGGGTTCAGACACTGTGGTTAAAGAAAAAATAATTTTGAGAACTATATTTCTTTTGATAACACTCTTTGCTTCATCAACTTCTCTTTACCTAAAATAAATTCTTTTAAAAAAAAATGAATTTTAGCAAAACAAAAAGTGAGGTACCGAAAACAAACAATCAATTATAAATATAATATCTATATTTTCATAAGGAAGTTGCTCTCTATTGAACTAATACTTTTATTATAAAATTAAAACTTTTTTATATTTATCAAATAAAAAATATTCTAAATTTTAATTTTTATTTGGAGTAAAAGGAATTTGCAAAGGGCAAAAAAAATGAATGTAGGTTATGATTTGATCTTTTGAGTTGTTTTATTTATGGACAAATTTATAATTAAATTTTTTTTTTTTAAATAAACTTTCTTTATTTGATCTGATTGCAAAGGCGACGGCAGGTTGCTTATTGGAATCTAATTTCTTGATGGCTGCAAACTGCCTACTTCTCATAACACCAAAATGCAATCTTCCATATCAGCCCTCACCAATTAATGAGTCTGCACAAAAATTCTGTTTTATTCCTTTGAGTTCATCAATTGAAATGGCAGGGACAACTACAGGTTGAACCTTTAATGTCTGTTTCCTTTGGTGCAGCTTCTTTCATGTAATAACCTCCAGTAATGCCTTAAAAAAAGCACCTGATTAGGTTCATAATAATGAAACAAAGGCCATAATAGATGGAATGATAATGAGATATATAAAAAACCAGAATTTGCACTTCATATCACTTGCTGAGTTATTAGGTGCAAATGGTCCGTTCTTATTAGGTTTGTTGATTGGGGCTTTGCGGCATTAGCAGTAATGGCTCAGTCTTGGGAGAAGTTTCATGCCTGAAGAGGTATTTTGTGTCTTATTCTAGTACTTAAGAGCTAAGTTATATAGCAGTATTTTATAGCAATGAAGGTGTATTCAGAGTGTTGCCTTTTCTTTCTTTACTTGCTACTAATTTTTCTTTCTTATAGCTTTTCATAATGTAGTAGTTTCCTACACTTAATTGTAAATTATCCCCTCTTGATTCTCATTTTGTTCTTTGTTTCTCTCATGCATCTCTTTCTCCAATGATGTTTTTAGAGCTTTTTTCCAGAGTGGTAGTTTCCTACACACTTAATTGTTTTGTTTACGTTGTGATAACCTCTACAGTACATAATACATGAACCATTTCAGTTACAACCTCTTTTCTAATTAGCTTTACACGTTAAACCAATCTCGCTATAAATTAAAGTTAAACTCCCCTACAACTTTGCAAACAAATTACTAATGGCCTACCATTCTTCAGCTTTTCTTATTCCTCTCCTTCTATTTTCTTTCCTTTTTCACTCATATGCCCTGACTCCCCATCTCCAAGTACCTGACAAAGTAATTGATGCCCTTTGTGATGAAATTGTGAACCCAGAGCTTTGCAAAACCACTCTAAAAAATTTCACAATAAAATCCCAAGTGGCAGATAGGCATGAACTTGGTGTAATCACAGTTCTCTTAGCAACTACACAAGCAAGATTAACCAGAAATGGTTTCAAAGAAATCCTACAAAATGAGAAAGATGATGCAACGAAGAACTATTTGTTGAATTGTTTGAATGATTATACAGTAACATTGGACAAGCTTAGAGCTGCCGATTTGCTATCCAACCAGAAGGATTATAAGGGTATGATCAAATTGGTGAATGAAGCCGTGGAGATGTCAAGAAACTGTAGAGATGGTTTCAAAAATTTGCCAAGCCACCCATCTAAAGCCTTGGAAGAAAATTACCAGAAAATGGTATGGCTCAATGACATGGCACTCATCACTCTTCATGTTCTTGGTGGGTGACAAATGAAATTTCATGTTACAGACCCTAAATAAAATAAGATTCTATATCATATTATTCCATTGGAAATCTTGGCTTCAAATACCAATAAATCCACTATTTAGTTCCATGTTTCACCTTTCATATATTTCAATGCAAAAATTGAAAACACTTGTATTCACTCCATAAAAGAACATAGCAAGTGGTCGGACATTATTCTATTAAGGTGGCATAGTGAGAGGGATGTTTATAACAAATGGTCCATTCTTATTAGTTGAACCTTTAATGTGTGTTTCCTTTGGGGCAGCTTCTTTCATGTAATGACCTCCAGTATTGCCTTAAAAAAAAAAAAGTAGGTTCATAATAATGAAACAAAAGCCATAATAGATGGAACGGCAATGAGATATATAAGAAACCAGAATTTGTTGAAATGGGGCTTTGCGGCATTAGCACTAATGGTAATGGCTCAGTCTTGGGAGAACTTCATGCCTGAAGAGGTTAAGCATAACTAGTTAAGTGAAAGGTGGAAGTCTGGTCAAGCTGCCATTGCTAAATCTTTGTCAAGAGAGGCTTGGCTTACACGCAGTCATCGAAAATGTGGTTGTTTAATTCTCACCATCAGTGACAATGACCACTTTTTTTGTTCGTTTGATTGGGGTGTTTTCACCCTCGACAAGAATCGTTCAAAAAGTTTTTGCCATCCTATTAAAACTAGATTAAATAAATGGCTAGCTACTTGCATATGTGTACATTTATAGTGGTATTTTCAAAAGAAAACTCCTCTTTTTATGTAAAGAATATATGTTGATATTTTTTTTTGTTAAACATTTTATTCCGTTAATGAAATTTATATTATATGATCATATAGCGTGATTATATTTATTATTGTTTATTAATTCTTTTAAGACTGAGATAATGATAATAAACAATAAGGTTTTACTATGGAATCAATAGGAGTAAAGTTGAAAACAAGTTCAATATATACAAAAATAAATTACATTTAAACACTAATTCACGGTACTACATCAATATTTTTTTGATCGATTTAATTTCCCATAATAACAACGTAGATTGAAGCGATAGAGAAATTAAAAAAAGAAATGTGAAAGTACGTATAAAAAAAAATGAATATCTATTCAACAAAGTATTAAATAATATTTATAGTGTGATATGATATTTAAATTGACATACTATATAGTATAAACAACCTTTCCTTAATAATAATATAGGATCTTATAATTTTATATATTTCAATGCATAAATTGAGAACACTTATATTCACATTGGACAAAGCGGGAGAAATAGAGAAGGCCTAGCTTTAAGCAAATTTATTAAGTCTTTGTTTTTTATGGTACATAACAAAAAAGACTGTATTCTCATGATTCAACAAAATAATTGTTTATCAAAGTCGACAAGAAAGAAATACAAAGAGCACCAAAAGAACAACCCGGTTTATGTGGAGCATAGCATCAAGGAAGATTCAGTTCAGGTAGAGCAAGGAAGGCAAGAGGGTTTGGATTAGGTAGAACCCATTGATGAAGGCCAAGCTCAAAACACTCAAGAGGAGGCTGAACTAGAAGGGGATAATGCAGCAAATCGGAATGACCATCAGCTCACAAGAGACCAAGAAAGGAGGCAACTCAGACCACCTTTGAGATATGGTCTTGCAAATGTTGTTGCAGTTGCACATTACTCGAAATGAGGGTTAATCAACTACGAATCAGAGACTTATAGAGATGCCATGGGATGTAAGGGTTCATCAAGATGGAAGCTAGCCATGGAGGAAGAAATGCATTCCTTGAGGAAGAACAACACTTGGGAATTAGTATCTAAACCAAAAAACAGAGAGTTGTGGATTGTATGGATTTACAAGGTCAAGGAAGGCAATTCTCCAGGGGATAAAGTCCAATATAAGGCTATGCTAGTGGTGAAAGGGTTCACACAAAAAGAGAGCATAGATTTCACAGAAATTTTCTCACCGAAATTTTCTCACCGGTTGTGAAATACAAGATGATAAGGATGGTGCTAGCTACGGTGGTCCAATTTGATTGGGAGATTGAGCAAATGGATGTGAAGACAGCGTTCTTACATGAAGAGCTACTACGATTCATGCTTGTACTACAAAGGTCACAAGGTGGAGGAAATGGTGATTATCCTAATCTATGTTGATGATATGCTATTGGTTGGTAGCAGCAAGGAGAGAATAGAAAGATTGAAGGCTCAACTCAGCTCAGAGTTTGAGATGAAGGATCTTGGTCATGCTCAAAAGATCCTTGGGATGTGTATAATACGGGAAAGGGAGAGAAACAGGTTGAAAATTTCTCAGACTTCATAAATAGAGAAGATGGTGTCTAAGTTCTCTATGGAAGATTTTAAACCAATAAAAATTCCCCTTGCTGGTCATTTCAAGTTCTTTAGCGATCAATGTCCAAGTTCAGATGAGGAGAAGAAGGAAATGGAGAAAGTTCCCTACTCTAGTGCGGTTGAATCAATCATGTTCACTATGGTAAGCACTAGACTTGACATTTCTCATGCTATAAGTGTCCTCAGCAGGTTTATGGGTAATCTTGGAAAAGAGCATTGGATTGGGATGAAGTGGTTGCTGAGGTTTTTGAAGGGAAGCTCAAATGTGAGGCTTGTTTATGAAAAGAGGGGTAAGTCTATTTGGTTAGAAGGTTATGGGATTCAGACTATGGAGCAGACCGGGATAAGAGAATATTGATCATTTCCTATTTCTTCAACTTAAACGGATGTTGTATAAGTTGGAAAGCTTAGTTACAGCCTATCGTAGCACTCTCAACAACTGAAGCAGAATATATAGCAACTACAGAAGCTATTAAGGAGGCCTTATGGTGGAAAGGATTGTTGGAAGAGTTGAATATCCTTAAAGAGCAGGTGGTAGTATACTCCGATAGTCAAAGTGCTTTGCATTTGTGTAAGAATTCGGTGTTTCATGAGAGGACAAAGCATATGGATGTTTGGTATCATTTCATTCTGGAAAAGGTGACGGAAGGAAGCAATCATGTGGACAAAGTAGCAACGGAAGAAAATCCTACAGCTTTAGGCACCAAAGTTCTAACTCTAAATAAGTTCAATCATTTCCTTGGACTTCTTAGAGTTAGAACCGGATGATGTGTTGTTTTATGCTTGAGTTTGGATCCTAAGTTCTCTGCACGTTTGGTTCGTTTTAATTGCTTAGACAAAGGTAGAGATTTTTGGTATTTTATCTAAGAATAAAAGTTTTGAGGAGTTCATGAGAAGAGTTTGCAGAATTTTGTGGTGTTTTGGTTAAAACACACAGCTTCACTTAAACCTCTTGGAGGGCTATGATTTGTTTGATTCTCTAGATCAAAGGGCTGAGATTGGTTTCAAGTTGGTTATGGTAGCTATCGCTCTATATAAAGGGTGTTATAGTAGCAATCAAACGACACTTGCATCAGATTTTTAAAGTCTTCTTCAGATCAGATTTTGGCTGAGTTTTAAAGAGAGAAGCTCTCAAATCTTCAGAGGCTTTTCTGGTAAGAGAGTGTATGTGAGATTGGGGTTAATAGAGGGCTTTGTAATTGGAATTTTCTGGGGAAAATTCCAAGGAAACACAACTTTCTTCTTCCTTTTCTTTTCTCTTCTCTCATTCATCAAGAACACATTGTTCTTGGTGAGTTGTTGTAATTGTAAGAACTCCATTGATTTAGTGCAAAGAGCTCAGAGGAGGCTCACGGGGCGTAGGTAATTTGCCGAACCTCGATAACAATTTCTTGTGTTTTCTCTTTTGTGGTTTGATTCTTGTTTTGGTACAAATCATTCTAGATTTGGGTGGTCGAAGGTCACAACCTGGGTTTAGTAGGTGATTTTCGATACTCAGGACTACCAGCCCATGAAGGCAAGACCAAATCAGTCATACTAGAGTGTACAGAATAAAAATTTTGGGGATCACGGAAAAATTCTGGGATGCACTCATTAAGAGTCCACTGGTAAAGTCTTTGCATGGTAGAAGGATACTCATTTGGCTCATAAACAGAAAGCACATCTGTACGTAGAACACTCAAAGGTAGCCTCTTAGCTTTATAACTGCATACAACCAGTTCCAAAAGGCACTTATCTGATACATGATGTGCAATTTCAGAAGTTGAATAGGTGAAGTTCAACTGCTCATCTCCTTTTGCTACCTGAAGTTTTCCCTTCAATGAGGAGACTGAGAGAACACAACACATAATCCTCAAGATACTCAGACAAGAAGTCAGAAGCAAACTCTTCCAACATGGAGTAAGAACAAACACCAACCTGAGCAGCTGGAAACAATGCAGTGATTGTTCTTAAGCAAGAGAATCTCCTAGAATGGTTACACATCAAATTTTTAAGTAGGTCAATTTTTAATTTAATTATAATTACCATAGTTTGGGTAAAGACGAAAATGAGCCTATCTATATATCATGTGAGAGGTTAAATATCAATTAACTGAGAAATTCAGAAAGTAACTACTAACAGATTTTTGTTTTTTTTTTCCCTCCAAGATTCTGATACACCCTCTCCTATATTTTCTGACTACAATCCTTTCCCATATTTTCTGCGTACAATCATTTCCCAATCAGAGCAATCAACAAGATTATTAAAGGTTCACTTTCGTTTTATGACTAGAGATGGGCGTTTGCCCCGGCCTCGCAGGGATCCGACCCGACCTGACCCGACCCGAATAGGGCACAGAATCCCTGAAAAATTCGGGGATAGGACCGGGGGTGGTCCTCAGAAAATCCCTGCACCCGGGGACAAGCTGAGGGAGCAGATAGTGCAATCTCCGGCCTGATCCGCCCTGCCCCGCCCTGCTTTTTTGAGAATTTTATGTTTTTTTTTTGTTCCCTTTGCGAGATTGTATATAAAATTAGAGTTTAAATCATGGTTTTAAGTAATGTATCTAAATTTATGATATTTACTTTTATAATACTTTCTAATGTTTGTATTAAATTTATAGAAAAATAATTTAAACGAGGGAGTCTAATAATTAAATATATGTATAATTACTTTGTGAATTTCACAAAATAATAATACATGACCCAAAAAAAATTTTGATTAGATTATTATAATTTACCAAACCAATATATTATGAGATTTATGTTGCAATGGATGATTTGAGTATATTATGAGGTTTATGTTGCAGCCTGAATGATGTTTATATTTTATTGCTTTGAAATCCATGAGCATGTTTCAATTTTTGCCAAGAAATTGTTGTTATTCACTATATTCATGTTAATTCTCAACAAAATTTTCTTTCAGGTATTTATTTTATGAATTTTAGTAGATGAAACTATTTCAGTGGAACATTACAATGCCTCAGCAACATAAAGCATCGGAATGTATTGGAATCTAAATTTCTCTATTTAATACTTTATAGAAAATGTGTCACTAACTTAGTAACAATTAAATTAGTTTATGGTGGTAGTTATGTATTGTTTTTTAAATTTTAATTTAAATTTTACAAGAAATTGTTGATTTTATACTTTCTTACCTTAAATTTAACTTTTTTAATGAATTAACTACTAAAATTAAGCAGTTAAATATAGTACCTACTAACGTGCTAGTTTTTCACAATTAAAATAATTATAATAATTTAATATTATTGTGAGAACATGCGGAAAGTTTTTATCTACACGGGGCAAAAATCCCCATTCAAGGGATAAATCCCCGTAGGGGAAAATTCCCCAAAAAGCCCCGTTCATCAGGTCAAACCGGGATGGGGATAGGAGTGATTCCATCCCCACAGGTTGGGGATGGTCATGAGAAAAATCTCCACCTACAGGGCCGGGCCAGGGATAGTCATGGGAGTGGGTAACGGGGACGGGGCCGGGGAATGCCCCGACCTGGCCCGTGCCCATCCCTATTTATGACCGTAGGGCAAAAAAAAATTATTTATTTCATATTTATATGTTTATACTGTTTGGTTTATAAGAAATTGAAAGAAAGAGCAAGAAAAATGTATGTTTATACTCCTGTTTGGTTTCTAAGAAACTTTAAAACTTTGCTAACATAATCCTCTAATCAACAAGAATCTCAATGGTGCACTTTCATATTTGAAGGAAAAAGCAAGAAACATAATCTTTATATGTCTATTAAGAGAAACTCTTTTCCCTGCATAGAGAACAAGATTCTCAAAAGTGTGAGGCTTATTCTATCAAGTTTACTATTTATTAATAACCACTATTAATTTGATTGTGGGTTAATTTTTGTCTTTAATAATTTCTTAATTTGAGATCGATTTGCTTAACTATTCCAAAAGTCAAATAATTGTCTCAAGCATGCAGATAATGAATTGGTATTTCAATTAATGAAACAATCGATTTATAGATAAATATGTTGTTTGAGTGATACAAGTTACAGTCTTTATAAATATATGCATGGCTAATGCTAATCAAATACAGTGGATTGGAAAGCATGGCTAATGCTGATGTGGATTGGAATACGGTTAACGCTATCATCACTGCATACCAAAAAAAAAAACCCATTGAAGACAATCTATTATCTTCTACCTCCACGATTAACTGCTTGCTACACCTGGACAATGAACTTCGAGCTATTGTTCGTGAGCTGTGCTATGGGATGAACCTTAATGCGGCCGAAGCAATGCTTGAGCAACAGTTAGTGGGGTTGGGATATGATGATAAGTTCAGAAACAACATTCAAATTCAGCTGTAAGATTTTCTAAACAACTTTAGAGGGTTTCAAAGCATGATTGTTTTACCACGGCGTCTAGCAGAGCTGAAAAGATTAATGTGCATAGAGGATCCTGTAATGAATATCCTTTTGCAAGTGAAAGACAGTGTTCTAACACCCAATACTACAGAGGCCAGTCTGTGGCTTCTTTGAGATGTGGAAATTTCTTAGTGAATTGGTATCCAACTACTTTCCATTGCACTTGCTCAATGTATGCCTATAACATACTCGTTTGTTTCATGATTTTGTTAGTTTAGTATTCACCAGCTGTTTTCAAAGTAGCATGAGGTATTTTCTTTTAGTATGTTGATGTTCAGCCTAAAAGATACACATGGATGAATAAAGATAACTTTTGTTCAGTCCAAATGTGCTATAAATCACTTCAACAAATTCAGCAAAGATTTTCTCTCTTTATTTATATTAGTCATGGAGTTGTGTTTGTTTCTTTTTGGGTTTTCCAAAATGGTTGCTATTCTGTTGTGCAATGAGACTTTGAATTAAACTTAATTAGTGGCAAATTTTGTTGGTTTGGGGATTTTCATGCTAAATTTTGGAACTATTGCAAGTTCTTAAATTTGATTGGAAATACTTTTTTTTTTTTCTTTTTGGTCTAAATGTTGGCAAGAAGGGAGATATTTGTTCTTTTTATTGCTACTGGCTAATTCACATATTATGAATAAAGTCTTTTTGTTATATGTACCAAAGATTAATGACTGAAGTTTGACTTCACAAACCCTTATTATTCACCGATCAAAAGCTAGAATTAGAGCATTAGTTTAATTTTAACATACTTCTTAAAATTGTTACAAAGTAAAAGATCTTCATTTGTTATCATCCAAAAGGACCTCTCCTTAATTAAGGTAAAAAATGATACTAAATTTTGAGAGTATACCATTGGCCACCTTTTTGGGTAACTGCAGCAATATGGTGGTATATATTATTTTCAAGAACCTAACTAGCTACAGTATGAAGGATAAGATGGTGAAATTTCAAATGCAAGTCACTTCCATTGTTTTTCCAAAATGGTTGCTAGTCTACAATAGTCTTTGTATGTCTAGACTTGAAATAGATTTGTTTCCGGTTGCTTGTTTTGGACTTGTAGAAATTTTTTGTTAATGAAAGATGGTTGGCCTTCTAGGTTCATGGTTTTTCGTAAGCGTTTATATATAGTATCAGTAAACTTCACTTTACTTTAGGGTCATGAATTGCCCTCTCTATTCACCTGTCAAAACCTATAGTTTAAAGCATTCATTTAATATAATATAGAATCTTATTTTATAGTGGGTGTGCAGGGCGGAGGGAGGGGGATTACGGAGGGTCAGTTGACCCTCCTTGACTTTGAAAATTATTAAAATATATATAATTTGATCCCTCTTGAGTCTTGTCCTCTCCATTTATCTTCATATCCCTGCTTAAGGTTTGATCAATCAAGGCATTTCTAACAACAAATTCTTAGATATCCATCTTCTGTTCCGACAAGAAACAATCGTGAGAAGGGTAGAATACTTATGCTCAATAAGACCGACAACCTTTTAGTTCCATGATCTGCCATATAGAGTTTCTACGGTATAATTCGATACTTCCCATCCTGATATAGAGTTTTCACATAGTTATATACGAAAAGTAGTAGTGTTAGGATTTATATGTACTTTTTACTTATTCTTAAGGGTAGTTTAGTACTTTTGTTCAGTTGTGTATATATTTAACTTTACTCTCTTTTTCTTGGGCTAATCTTAATACATGAAACCCTAATTTTCCTTTCTCAATCTTCTTTAAATCTTTGAGTATAGTATGTTAACATGATATCAGAGCAGATGATCCCAAGGGGATTTAGTAGCTGTTTTTGTTTTCTTCTTTTGGTGATTTGTGGGTGATTCTTGTGGTTGAGTGTGTGGCTTGGTTTGTGGTTGAATTCATGGGTGTTTTTTGGCATTGATTGTTGTTGGTTGGCAAGTGCTGGATAGGGCTAAGCTTGTGGTGGATTGTAGGTTGAAGGTTTAGCAAAATTGAAGAAAACCAGATCATAGGGGCCCAACTGCAATTTTTCAAACCTGTAGGAAATTTTTTGGGGGCCTGTCGTAGGTTTGAAAAGTTTTAGGACTGTTCTGAAAATTTTCTTTTCATTGAATTTTTTTTTTTTTTTTTTTACTTGGTGGTGTAATTGTGTTGATTTTTATTATGACTAGTGAAAACGATGATTCTCTTCAATCTATTAGTGTGAAATTAGTTAGAAGTACGAACTATTCATATTGGAGTTAAAAGGCAAGAAGATATGGGGTTAAATTTTTGGTACTTTGGGCAAACCTAAAGATGATAAGGCTGAAAAATATATAGAATTGTTAGAAGTTTGGGATGTGAATAATTCAAAATCATTACTTTGGATAAATAGCTCTATTGATCATTCTATAGGTACGCAATTGGCTAAGTATGAAATAGTCAAAGAGATTTGGGAACATTTGGAAAGATTGTATACCTAATCCAACTTTGCAAAACAATATCCGTTGGAGTGATATATTTGATCCCTCCAACGGAACAATATGAGTGTCTAAGAGTTTTATTCAGCAATGATAGATCTTTGGGATCAGTTGGCTCTTACAGAATAAATAGAGTTACGAGTTTTTGAACCATATATTGCTTGTAGAGAAGAACAACAACAGGTTCAATTTTTTATGGCTCTTCGTGATGAGCTTGAGGGACTTCGTGGGACAATTTTGCATTGTAGACCGCTTTCTTCTATTGATTCAGTGGTTAGTGAGTTGTTAGCAGAGGAGATACGTCTTAAAACTCAAACGCAAAAAGGAATTCTTCCCACACCTATTCCTTCTGTTTTGGCCGTACCATCTAGGCCATCCTCCAATTATCAAAGTAAGCCCAATTTGAAGGTTAGTTATGATGAATGTAGTTTTTGTAAGCAAAAAGGTCATTGGAAGGCTCAATGCCCGAAGTTACTAAATAGAGGACACCTACCACCACAACACCATCCTCTTCAGGGAAATTGGCAAATCAACGACCTTATAAGTCTTCTCAGCCTAAAACTGCAGTAGTTGTATCGTCATCAGACTCATTTGGTTTTGGCATCACGCCATCTCCCAATTCCTCAATAGCCGCATTTGCTGAGCAGTTTCAAAAGTTTCTTGCCACACAACCGCATGCTATGTCTGCCGCGTCTCCTACAGGTTTGTCAAGTTCTTCAGGTATGCCTTCTACCATGTGGGTATTAGACTCTGGAGCTTCTCATCATATGTCACCTGATCCCTCATCTTTTACTTCATTATGCCCTAAATCATTTGTGTTTGTCATGACTGCTGATGGCACTCCTATGCCTTTAGTAGGTGTTAGTTCAATTGTCACGCAAAATATATCTCTTCTTAATGTTTACCACATTGCTAAACTTACAATGAATCTTGTTTCTATTGGCCAATTATGTGTGACTGGTTACTTAGTCCTTTTTTCTTCAAGTTCTTGTCATGTGCAGGATCTACAATCCCAAAAGCTGATTGGGACATGCCGTAGGCAGAGGGGATTATATGTTTTGGATACGCTAAAAGCACCAGATATTGCAGCTTCTAGTATTGACTTGTCATCTTTTCGCTTAAGTAGTTCTTCTTCTAGTTTTTATTTATGGCACTCTTGTCTTGGTCATGTTTTGGCCTCTCGTTTAAGGTACTTAGTTTCCACAGAAGCATTAGGAAATTTGCAAACTAATGATATTTCAGATTGTTCTAGTTGTAAACTTGCAAAATTTTTTGCTTCACCTTTTAACCAAAGTGTTTCTTCCTCTTTTGCCCCATTTGATTTAATTCATTCTGATATGTGGGGACCTTCCCCTATTTCTACAAAAAGAGGGTTTCGGTATTATGTTTCCTTTATTGATGATTTCACTCGTTATTGTTGGGTTTATCTTATGAAAAACCATTCTGACTTTTTTAATATTTATAATGCATTTTGAGCCCTCATCAAAACTCAACACTCTACTGTGATTAAGTGTTTTAGATGTGATTTGGGTGGGGAGTACACTTCAAGTAAATTTTGTGAATTGCTTACTTTAGATGGCACCATCCATCAAACTTCGTGTACTGATACACCAGAGCAAATGGTGTTGCAAAGAGAAAACATATGCACATTGTTGAAACCGTGTGTTTCTATTGTTATCTGCCCATGTTCCTAGTTCTTTTTGGGGAGAAACAGTTCTTACAATAGTCCATCTAATTAAAAAGATCCCATCATCTAACACTTCAGGTTTGTCTCTGTTTGAAAAGTTGTATGGACATGCCTTTGATTATTCTTCTTTATGAGTTTTTGGATGTACTTTTTTTGTCCTTCGACCTCATGTTGAACATAGCAAATTATCTTCTCACTCTGCCATTTGTGTTTTTCTAGGTTATGGTGATGGTAAAAAAGGATACCGTTGCTTTGATCTAATTGCACAAAAATTGTATGTATCTCATTATGTTGTGTTTCTTGAGCACATACTTTTCTTTTCTATTTCTGATAGCTCTCTTAATCTGACTAAGTCTCATCTCATTCATATTGATCCCTTTTATGATGATGAAGATAGTTCATCCTTTAAGGTTCCACATGCAATAAATACAACCCCACCTCGTGTTTCCTACTCTCATGTTCCAATTACCCATTTTCCTCTTCATTATTCTTGCAAGGTTCACCCTAGTTTTCCTGTAGATACTGGTACTTTGGTCCCTGATGCTCCCTCTCTCCGTACAACCACTTAAGCACCTTCTGAGGTTGTGGCTCCTTCCCGCTATCCTCAACGCACTCGTAAGTCCACTAAATTACCTGATTTTTCTTACTCTTGTTCTTTTGCTTCTTTTGTAACCTCTATTCACAATCTTTCTGAGCCTTTATCTTATAGTGAGATAGTTCTTGATCCACTTTGGTAGCAAGCTATGGCTTAGGAACTTTCTGCTTTGCATAAGACAAACACTTGGGATTTTTTTGCCTTAACCCCCTAATTAGAAGGCAATTGGTTCTCGTTGGGTTTATAAAATAAAAATTAAGTCTAATAGGTCAATTGAGAGTTATAAAGCTAGATTGGTAGCTAAGGGATTTTCTCAACAATATGGTATGGATTATGAGGAGACTTTTGCTCCTGTTGCAAAAATGACTACTGTATGTACTCTTATTGCGGTTGCATCCATTTGTCAGTGGCATATATCTCAAATGGATGTTAAAAATGCCTTCTTGAATGCAATCTTCATGAAGAAGTCTACATGGTACCTCCTCCTAGTATGTCTCATAGTCTTGGAGAAGTTTGCAAACTCAAGAAAGTTTTATATGGTCTAAAACAAGCACCTTGAGCCTGGCTTGAAAAATTCTCTACTGTGATTTCTTCTCTTGGTTTTTACTCTAGTAATCATGATTCAACTCTTTTTATAAAGAGTACTCCTACTGTTCGTATTGTACTTTTTTTATATGTTAATCACCTGATTATTACTGGTGATGACATTGATGGAATTGCCTTGTTGAAATCATATTTGGCTAGTCAGTTTGAAATGAAGGACTTGGGCTCTTTGCGCTATTTTTTGGATATTGAAGTAGCCTTCTCTCCAAAAGGTCATCTTCTTTCTCAATCCAAGTATACAACTGACATCTTAGAGCGTGCTTGTCTTACAGATACCAAGATTGTTGATACTCCTCTTGAGCTTAATGTTCAATATTCTCCCTCTAATGGTGTCCCTTTGCAAGATCCCACTTTGTATCGCACTATTGTCAGTAGTTTGGTGTATCTCACTATTACTCGTCCAGATATTGCACATGCTGTTCACATAGTCAGCCAGTTTGTAATCTCCCTTACTACTATTCATTGGGCAGTTGTTCTTCGTAAATTGTGGTATTTTAGGGGTACTATTTTTAAAAGTCTTTTACTTCCATCTACATCCTCTTTGGAGTACATGCATACTCTGATGCTAATTGGGCTAGTGATCCTATTGATCGCAAATCTATCACTGGCTACTGTATTTTTTTAGGTGATTCTCTTATTTCTTGGAAGAGCAAAAAACAGCCGATCATTTCTAGATCTTCCACAGAAGCTGAGTATCGTGCTATGGCATCTACTACCACTAAGATAGTTTGGTTACGTTGGTTACTTGCCAATATGAGTGTTTCTCTCTCATCCTACTCCTATGTACTGTGATAACAAGAGTGTTATTCAAATTGCTCACAACTCAGTTTTCCATGAGTGAACCAAGTACATTGAGACTGATTGTCACCTCACTCGTCATCATCTTCAGCATGGCACTATTACATTGCCTTTTGTTTCTTCTTTTATACAGATTGCAAACTTGTTTACTAAGTCATACTCTATCTCTTGCTTTTGTTTCTTGGTTGACAAACTCTCGATGCTTCTTCCTGCCACATCGTAAGTTTGAGGAGGGATGCTAGGATTTATATAATTATATGTACTTTTTACTTATTCTTAGGGGTAGTTTAGTATTTTTGCTCAGTTGTGTATATATTTAACTTTACTCTCTTTTTCTTAGGTTAATCTTAATACATGGAACCTTAGTTTTCCTTTCTCGATCTTCTTTAAATCTTTGAGTATAGTATGTTAATAGTAGTAATACCTGTCAAGATTAGATAGTTTACTGAAAATACAAGAAGATAAGGACATGAGTATAATATTTGTGATGCAGATTATGATTTATGTGCTCAAAGCAGGCATGGAAAGAACTCAATAACAATGCTGCATACGTACTTCATTGGCAGATTTAGATAAAGAGGAAAGTCCAGTCTTATTTTTGGAAATTGAAATAACATCCTGGCCCCATGCAGAGAAACCAGATATTCCATCTCTATGTCCTTTAAAGACAATGGGTTGTGATAGCCAATTCCTGCAGGAATTATACAACGATTGAAAGATCCAGGAGGGAAACCAGATAATATAAAACATTTTAAAAGAGTTCCACTTTTCTTTAAAATCTTTTCCTGTGAGGAAAGTATTATTTGAGCATGAACCAGGAAATAGTTGAGAAAATTTATCTGGTATAATAAACCTAAACCAAAGATAGGAAATGCCTAAGCCTAAAATGGTATATGAGCACGAGAAAGAAAGCCCACAAAGTAAGATTCACGTATATGAAAATATTCCCCAGTCTATACCAAAATCATTTAAGAAGAATTCAGACAATTACACTTAATAATGTTTCTTTCATTTCCTCTCTCAATTTTACACCATCACAGTTACACAAAGATTGATTGGCGATTGGGGCATTTTCAAGCTGGATAATGATTCGGAGGTTGTGACCAAAGGTAACAGATCAAACAGATGGCCACCACCTTGGATTACTGCACCTCTGTGGTGATTTTTACGAGAGGAAAGGGAGGATCCATATTATAAACTGAAAATTTTAGCAGGGCTTGCTCAATTATTATAAGAACTTCCGCATTTTGTGTTTCTTGTACTTAGATCTAAGTTATATAGCAGTATTTTATAGGCATGAAGCTGTATTCCATAGTAAGTTGTATTTTTCATTTTGTTCTTTCATTGTTTTGTTTACGTTGTGATAACCTCTATAATACATAGTACATGAACCATTTCAACAACCTCTTTTCTAATTAGCTTTGCAAGTTAAACCAATCTCGCTATAAATTAAAGCTAAACTCCCCCACAACTTTGCAAACAAATTACTAATGGCCTTTTATTTTTCAGCTTTTCTTATTCCTCTCTTTTTAATTATTTTCTTTCCTTTTTCACTCATATGCCCTAACTCCCTAATCCCTATATCCAAGTACCTGACAAATAATTGATGCCCTTTGTGGTGAAATTGTGACCCCAGAGCTTTGCAAAACCACTCTGAAAAATTTCACAATAAAATCCCAAGTGGCAGATATGAATGAACTTGGTGTAATCACAGTTCTCTTAGCAACCACACAAGCAAGATTAACCAGAAATGGTTTCAAAGAAATCCTGCAAAATGAGAAAGATGACGCACGAAGAATGATTTGTTGAATTGTTGGAATGATTACACAGTAACATTGGACAAGTTAAGTGCTGCCCATTTGCCATCCAACCAGAAGGATTATAAGGGTATGATCAAATTGGTGAATGAAGCTGTGAAGATGTCAAGAAACTATACAAATCTTAGATTTATAGACTTTCTTTTCTAGTTAGTATAGTATTATTAAGTTACGTTAGGAAATAATTTATAATCCTAATCATAGGAGAATTAGATTTATAGAATTATAGTTGGAGCAGGATCAGATTTCCTGAAAATCTTAGATTTACAGTTAGACTGGGATTGGATTTCCTGAAAATCCTAGTAGATTTAGCCATTTAGGACTCTCATTGAGAGGCTATAAATACTTTCTCTCTGTAGCACCCAAAAATATATTCAGGAAACTAAAGCAAATAAGTTCGCTAGGTATCTTTTAAATATATTTTTTTTTTCTTTTCCAGGTATCTTTCAAATAAATAAATATATATAGATTACTCTAGATCTATATATATTGTATATATAATATATATGCTTTTTTTTTTTTGATTTTTTTTTTTTTTTTTTCAGGATGAAGGATAGAAATAATGTGGATTGGTCTTCAGATCTGTAACGCCCCGCTTGAGGTACGTTGTTATTGTTTCCTCTTTCGCCTCCCTCATTGAGTTTTTTTGGTAATATTGTTTGATTTTCATGTATGAGTGTGTGGTAGTTAATTGCCTTGAAATGGGTTAAAAAATGGAAGAAGTGTAGTATGCCGAGCTTCGCCGGCGAGCAGAAGAATCTTCGCCGCGGCGAAGATGTGTTGAACCACCGGAAACTCTCTGGACGGTTTCGCCGCGGCGACATAAGTTTCTTCGCCGCGGCGACGGGCCGATTTCATTTTGGTTGATTTTTAGACATTTTCTTCCCTAAGGGCAATTTGACCTTTCTACCCCTAATTAGGAAAAGTGGGGAGTTAATTATAAGGATTTTTCTTGGAGAAGTGTTGATATGGGGGTGAGTTTGTAATGAATCAAAGGATATATGGAGAATTCCCAAGAGAGTAGGCAAATGGAATGATGTGTTTATATTTCATTAAAAGGAATTAGAATCAAAGAAACCCCTCATTTCTTCTTCTCAAACGCAACTCTCCATCTTCACTCCTCTCACCTTCTCTTTCTTTTCTTTTGATCAAGGATTTCCAAGGGATTTTTGAAGTGATTTGAGGTAGAAAAGCAACCTAAGACTTCCTAAGGTAAGGATTCCTTTTTAAGTTGTGTGATTTGGGAGTTTTAACCCATATTGAAGATTGAGGGTTTTCATTCTTTTGGTTAAGATTAGAGGGAAAGTCAAGCTTAACAAGTGAAAGGAAGAACTTGTGAAGTCTCTCCATAACAAGGTGAGTAAAACCCAACCCAAGTTGAGATTTATGAATTCTCTTGATTAGGTTTTGATAGAAAGATGTATGTATGTGATGTGCATGTAATATGCCATGTATGGAGTATTAATTGGAGATTTCTATGCTTTGTGAATGTTAATACCTTGCATAAAGAAATGGGTTGTTGGGTTGACAAGGTAGTTGAGATGGATTTGAAGGGTTATGAAACCCTTTTTGGAAGTGTCTTGTTTGACAGGTTTTCATGGCCTTGTGAAGGGGTTTTTCCCCATTTTGGATGGTTAGAAAAGTTTTAGAATCATGGCTATAATGATTTTTATAGTGCACATGAGTTGTTGTGATGAAATGCCTAATAGAGGTTTGAGTGTGATAATGAACCTTAATTCTTGCAACATTGCATGTTGGTATATCATAGTGCATTGATGAAGTTGACCATCCATAGGCACTAGTTGTACATGGAGAGTGACCAAAAAGTGTAAGAGAATTGTGTGTGTAATTACCCTATGATTAGAGACTTGGTGAGTATAACTACTTTAAGTAGAGAACATTGAGAAATACTACAATAGAATGAATTAGAAGTAGTAATGTTGGGATGATGCTTGTGATCATCACCCGACCGCTATGGAATCGGATTGATGCTTTGGATCATCATCCGAATAGCCCTTAGTGATGGGTCGATGCTTTGTGATCGTCACCCAATGAGTAATAGAAATGGGGTAGATGCTTTGTTCACTATCCATTAGTTATTAGATAGTGGGTTGATGCTTTGTGATCATCATCCACGGCTAGTACAACGGGTTGATGCTTAGTGATCATCACCCTATAGTGACTAGAGCCGGTAAATGCTTGGTGAACGTTACCCAAAATTCATGAGGAACGGGTAGGTGCTAGGGTGATCTCCACCCGATAGTTAGGAAGAATCGAGTTGGTGCTTTGTGATCCTCACTCTGGTAGTCACTAAGAACGTTTTGGTACTGTGTGAATTCCACCCGATAGCCATAAGAGGGAGATGGTCTGTGTAACGCCATCCGGCCGTCCCTCCGGTAAGATGAGGCCATGATGTTATTAGAAATAGAAATAGAATCAGAAATAGTATAAGGAAAGAATTAAGAGTTATATACGGACAGACATTTAGAGGGTTTACTTACTGAGCATATTTTTGTGCTCACCCCGTTATTTCCTTTGTGGATGCAGGTCCTAGTGATGAAGCAGTCGGAGAGGCGTCGGCAAGCGAAGAGGAATAGCTACACTGTTCCCCTAATTCATCTTTAAAATGCATTTTTGTAACCAGTACTATTTGTGTATAAAAGACATATATTATTATTATAGAAAAGAACTTTGGGCCCAATTTTTTATTGCAATTATCATGCATTGTACTAGTTTTCAGTATTTGTTACAAGATCTACCTGAAGGATTCTTGGATGATCTCAAGAAGTTAGCTCTAAGTGACTACGTATCTTTTGGTAATGTTTGCAAGACATGGAGAGGCATTGTGACCAAAGCCATTTGTGCTAAGCCATTGCGAGGTTTTCCATGGCTGTTGATGTCTGGCTAATATGAAACCACAACAAGGAGTTGCTTTAGTATACTTGAAAATAAAATGCGATTCCTGCAGATCCCCAAATCTTACGGAGAATGTGTTTTGAGCGAAGGATGTGTTATGGATTCTTTTGAAGAATGGTTGATTATGGTGAAATTTCATCAATGTCCATTCAATATCTCTGTGATTAATCCATTGTCAGGCGTTAAAATTCATCTTCCTCCAATGGACGAGAATTATCGTAAGTTGATGTTTTCAAAATATCATGGTGATGAAAACTGTGTGTATATGTTATTCACTCGGTTGTGGAGTAAGTCAATATTTTGGACCCCGGAGCTCAAGATTGGTGTGAACTCAGAGCAGATCGGTACTATGATGGTATATCCTTGAATGGTTATTTTTATCTTTTGTACAATAATAATAACATCAGGGTCATTGATGGTACAAATATTCTTTCAACAGTTACAACTGAATTATACGAAGTTAGAATGCCTCATGATCTACCTATACAAGATGATGATGACATATCAATGTCATCGAGGTATTTAGTGGAGTTATGCGGAGAGATTATCCTTGTGTATCGATATTTAAGGAGAAAACATGATTTCCACTCTAGCATAAGGTTCGAGACTTATGATTGTAAGATATGTAAGCTAGATTTATCCAAGAAGGCTTGGGTGGCATTAGATAGCTTAGGGGATTATGTTTTATTTGTGAGTAGAAATTGTTCAAGATCTATTCTTGCAAAGGAACTTGGACTTGGTATGGCGAATTGCATCTACTTCACTTATGAATATGATGAACCACTAATGAATGAATGGGAATTCCCTCAATGTCGAGAAGGTTCCAACCAAAGAGATTGGGTTGTTTTCAACCTCGACAAGAATCATTCAAAAAGTTTTTGTCCTACCGAAACTACACTAAATAGATGGCCATCTACTTGGATAACTGTACCTTTATGGTGGTATTTCAAAAGAAAACTCCTCTTTTTATGTAAAGTCTTAATATTTTTTTGTTAAACATTTTATTCTGTTAATAAAGTTTATATTATATGATCATATAACGTGATTATGTTTATTACTCCCTCTGTTTAGAATAAAAGTCGTTTTAGTCTTATAAATTTTTTTCAAAATAAATGTCGTTTGGCCAAATGCAACCCTCTCTCTCTCTTTCTCGAAGTATGCCCCTGTCTCCTCTCTCTCTCTCTTTCCCTCACCTCTCATCTTCTCTCTCTCTCTCTCTCTCTCTCTCTCTTTCTCTCTCTTTCTCTTTCTCTTTCAAAAGCCATTAAACACAACTTTTCCATCAATCATCATTGTTTTTTCTTCGTTCCATTTCCCATGCACTTTCAGAGGGAGGAGCAAAGAAAAAAAAATTTACATTAAAAAATTAGTTTATTAAAAAACGTGCAATAACTGAAAACGGCTTTTATTTCGAAACAGAGAGAGTAATTCTTTTAAGATTGAGATGATGTTAATAAAAAATAAGATCTTATTATGGAATCAATAGGAATAAAGTTGAAAACAAGTTCAATATATACAAAGATAAATTACATTTAGACACTAATTCACAGTAACATTTATTTTATTGATTTATTTTTCATAATAACAATGTAGATTGAAGCGATAGAGAAATTAAATAAAGAAAAAAAATAAGAATATCTATTCAACAAAGTATTAAATAATATTTATAGTGTGATATGATATTTAAAATGGCATACTATACAGTATAAACAACCTTTCCTTAATAATAATATAGGATCTTATAATTTTATATATTTCAATGCATAAATTGAGAACACTTATACTCCCATTGGACGGCGCGGGAGAAATAGAGAAGGCCTAGCTTTAAGCAAATTTATTAAGTCTTTGTTTTTTATGGTACATAACAAATAAGACTTTATTTGTAATGTATCATCAAGATTCAACAAAATAATTGTTTATCAAAGTCGACAAGAAAGAAATACAAAGAGCAACAAAAGAACAAATATCTCCTTTCCTGCCGGAAACTCAAAAAAATGAATTTCCAAAAGAATAAGAGAACTTGCAATAACAGCAAGTCGGTAACATATACAACCCAAGCCAACACTAGACTCCTAACTTTACTGATAATCACTCAATAATTCACCACCTGCAGTCCATTAAGCCTGAAATATTAAAAATAGTGATTGAATTAGAGAATAACCAAAAAAAAAAAAAAAAAAAATTGGCAATCTAAAAGCGAATCCTAAATACAATATGAAGAGCATCTCCTGATGCAAGTTTTAATCGGAGCATTTGATTATCGTAGATGCTACTACATATACCTTGTTAGCAATGTTGTTCGAGAGCCATTCCAGTCCCTCATAAAGCCCTTCTCCAGAAGTGGCACATGTGCTCTGGATATACCTGCAAAATATCAACATTCAAAAACTTGAGTGTTTTCTATAGGTTTGATTGCCTTCCTCTGGGAGAGTAGCAATATTTATAAATTTTACCAGTGGCGTTGTCGTAGAGAATGAAGGCCAAGCTTATCGGTGATCTCTGCAGCATTCATTGCATTTGGAAGATCTTGTTTGTTAGCAAACACAAGCAACACAGCTTCCCTTAATTCATCCTGTCCACCACAAATAATCATCTTACTATGATTTTATGATAANCCAAAAAAAAAAACAAAAAAACAAAAAAAACTCAATATTTGAGAAATTGAAGTTTTAAGATAAGAAGAAGAAGAAGAGGAAGAAGAAGAAAGATTAAGGAAACCTATAATGCAAAATGGTGTAAATTCTCAACTCTTACTTGCATACTTATTGTACGTTTATATATAGCTTAGATACCCAAATTTGATTTCAAGTTCCATAACATGAGTAACATAGAGAATTCATACTTCATAATTAATTTGGGGACCCCAAAATCAATTTTATCATGAGTTTTCCTTTTTCCTTTGTGTTTACTTGCCAACCAAACAAATGTGACTATAGAATGTTAACTTTCCTTGAAATGACATGAAAAGGGAAGTTACTTCACTGAATAACATCAAAAAAGCAAGTCACCTCGTAAGTCCTCCTTGAGTTACCAAAAAAAGTCACAAAATAGTCACTTCAAGCAAACTAAAAAGTGGTACAAATGGATCCCTCCTTTTGAGCAATTACACATCAATAATTTGCTATTAAAAAGCTTTACCAGTGCCTGTTCAATATATCTCATATACTAATTACTTTTGTAACATCATAGATATTGACCACAAATTTAACTATCTCCTTTGGTAGTTCAGCTTGCCAATGAAGCAAGCGAAAAGGGAGCTGAGGAGGATGGGGAAGATGATAAGAACAGCTGTAGCAAGACCTAAGAGAATGTGGTCATAGCCGAATTAGTCTTTTAAGAAAGCAGCAACTGTTTTGGTCTCTCCAAACGATGATATTTATTTGTGAATGTCACCGTATTGCGAAGTTAACATGTCATTGAGCGCCCAAGACGTTGGAGATAGATAACACAACCAGATCCAACAATTTAGAATTCGATGCAAAAAATAAGAACTCCAATGAATTTGTTTTCATATGAATGATAAAACCATATCAAAACCAAGGTTTCTCATATTTGAAGAAGAAATAATTTCCCCAATAAGTCAATGCTAATCAAGCAAATAATCAGGATAACATTATAATTTAATTAGCTTACTTACGATGAAAACATAGAAGAGGTTCAGCATTGTGTAGGTAGATGAAGTCAAAACAGAAGCCAATTGAATGTTTGGTGTCAAAAACTCCAGCAGCATTCCCAGATAGTTGAAGCACATAAGTGAACAGAACATCAATGACTTTGTCTGGTCTCCCATCTCTCTCGCACAAATAAGTCTTGAAGAAGAGAAACCTTCAGATGTGAATAACCTGTTGTCTGAAACCAGTGACTTGATGAGTAGGCATTCAGACCCATAAAGATTAGAATGTTAAAAAATAAAGCTCATGACTTGCCTGTAAAATTTTCTGGATAGCAGGCAAACTCATTGTCTCCACAGCTTTTGGTGTAAAGAATTTTATGAACTCTTTCAGCAGTATGTAAGCCCACTCAGCTTCAGCATCTGATAAAGGAGTCACTACAAGAGGTAAACAGTAGGGAACACACATTTCAGTTGCAAATGATCCCATTGCTTTCAAGGCTCCTTGTTTTGCAAAATTTGCAGCATAACAAAGACGAGATCCATCTTTTGCTATGAGCTGAAATGGGGAGATAAACAAGTAGGATGACTTGACTGTTTTGGAAAAATGAGGAGATTCCAGAAGACTTTTAGCAGATGGTGTTCTAATAAATTTGTGTAAAAGGAAATAAAATAACGTTCTGACATATACTTTAATGATAAACTTATACCAGATAAACATGAAGATGAAGTAAAGAAGACATAAAAGAAAAACCTTGAAGCCTGATTCTAAAATATCTAGTACCATAAAAAGAAATAAACATGTACCTTGTCCAGTCTTTTTCAATGCATGCTTCAACAAGTATTTTTGTTCGAGGAGGAAGTTCCTGCAACACACCAGGAAAGACACCACTTTCCAAGTACATTGTCAATGAAGTCGAATAAAAAAGTGGCCTTCGCAAATGAAGTTCTGCCAAGAGACAACCAACTGAAAATATATCCTTCGCAATATCTTCAGATAAAGTCCTTGAATGAGATGATTTTTCCCTCCAAAGAAGTAACTCCTGATATTCCATGGAAGTTGCGTCTTCAGCTTCAATATGCTCAAGAAAATAATCCAAATTGATATCAGATGGCACCACATGCATGTTGATTGCCAACATCAAATAAACTAGAAAAACTTCCTCTGACACTGTCATGTAAAAAACCTTTTTCTGGAGAGAGGTGCATTGCAGGGTCATCTTGATGGTAATAGCAAAGAGGACTCAAATGTCGAGCATGTTCAGAAAAAGCAGATGCTTCTTTTAATTCTTGTAAATTGGTAGCTTGAAAGAGAAGAGAAATTTCATTATCCACTTTATTAACTTGGCATCTGGATCTAGCTGATTCACCATTACTAGACTGTTTCTTCCAGGTTGTGGTCTAATGTACAGGGTGTGGTAGAGCGAAAAGCTGACGGCGTCCAACTGACTTTGGCATTGTTGGCTCAGATGAAAGCAACATAACGTTCTCGGCAGCAAGAGCTGCCTTGTAATAGCCACTACTACTCAAAAGCTTATAATGAAATACATATAAAATAACATAAAGAAATTGGGCTCAAAATTTTCTTTTTATTAAAACATATATACATATTCTTTACAAACATATACATTTTTACACAAAATGTATAACATATACGAAAGTCATCGAAAACATAAGGGACAGTGCAACCGCTTCTTCTCGAACGCCGACATCCATCCGACAGTGTCCTCACCTAGGTCCTGCAAGACATGGGAAAACAACGGGGTGAGCACTAAAACAATGCTCAGTAAGTAAATCCTCTACTCATACTAGCCCCGTAACTCTCTTTCTCTAATTCTTTCCTTACAACTCCTCATTCAATTTCTCTTTGGGTACTTCTCTATTTTTCTCTTTCTCTTCTCCATAGAACTCTTTTCTCATAACTCTTTCATAAATCACGACCCCATCTTACCGAGGGCACGGTCGGGACTCACTCCCACTCTACGTGACCTCTACTCATTCTAGCCGATCGGACTCGGTTATACATGGATTCGGAACCCTTGGGCATGTGAGTGTATAATCTCTCTCTCGGGTACTCGGGTATAGCCCTCATCCGCATGCACTCTCACGGGCTACACCACTTCTCTATCTGATACTCATGCCGCTCTCTCAATGCGGCGTACATGCGGGAATACTCTACCCATTACTCACGGGTTCCCCATCGCACAACCTACTCTATTCTCTTTCTCCTAGCTCTAAAGAACTTATACTCAAATTTTTAAATAATCTCAAGCTACTTCTCAAGTGTATAAACAAAGGTGTAGAGCCAGCTCATGCTCCCTAATGCATTAAGAAATGCCACCTACAGATTTCCTCAAAACCGTCATTCTGCTAGGTCACACTAAACGGCCATAACTTGTGCATCCACCCAGATTCTACGGTTTTGGTCTCGTTTTAAAGCTTAGAAACGGGCTATAACTTCTCTGTTTTGGTCTCAGCCTAGTTCAAACCGTAATGCCCAAAAATTCTTAGAATACAACAGTGACAGAACAGATTTCACTTAGGCCTTTCATCAAACAACTCATATCATAAACCACTCTACTAAAATTACTATTATACTTCATTCTCTAGCCATCCAAAATGAGAGAAAACTCCCTCTATACTCATAATCCCTGTCAAGAAAAGCACTCCCAAAAAGCTTCACACAACATCTCTCAAACTTCATCTCAATCCTTCTCAATACACATTAAAACACTTCTCATACATGGAATCTATCCAACAACACAAAAATAGCTACTCATCTCAACAATTTCTCATTGTTATACTACATACTGATCATGCATACATCTCTACACAAAAGCTTGTTTAAAACTCAAGTTGGTTGGATTTACTTACCTTGTACAAAGATACTTCTTTAGCACTTTTCCTTCCCTTTGTGCTCTTGTCTCTTCTCTACAACTCAAAACAACCACAAGGACAGCGAGAACCAAATAAGACTCACTACAATTATAAAATTCACATCTAAAGCATGAATCCTTACCTTAGGATGCTTTAGATGAAATCCTACTCAAAACCCTCTTAAAACCCTTAGAAATCTTGGAAGATTGGATGGAGAAATTGAAGAAAATGGGCAAATGAAGAGGCGGTAGAATGAAATAAAGTTTTCTCTACACTTAACCCTTTTTAGTTCATATTATAACATCATTTCCCATTTTGCCCTTGCCTTTCTTGGAAATTTCATCTATATCCTTTGATTCTTTACAAATACACCCCCATCCAAACCAACTCTACTAAATTTCTTTCATTTTACTCCCCACTTTTCCTACTAATTAGGGTAGAATGGTCATTGTGTCCCAAAAGAAGAATTCTCTAGAAAACTCAAGAAACTTTGTCTTAGCTCGTCGCCGCGGCGTCTTGCGTCGCCTCGGCAAAACAGGGCAGAACCTACCCGTGGTTGCAACTCCTCCTCGCCGCGGCGAAGCTTCTTCTTCGCCCCGGCGAAGATTGGATTTCCAACTTCACCAAAACTCAACCAATTTCAAGGCAACAATTCAACCAACTCAACATACAAACTCAATTAAAGTTGAAACAATAAACTTTTAACTAATACAGCAAATCTTAAACACGTACCTCAAGTGGGATATTACATGCCTACCCTAACATTTTGTACCCAAAGGTGATATCTATCCGATTATGAATTTGGCTTGAAACCCAATGGTCTTCTAAAGCTTCTCGATGCAATTTTGTAAATTCCTCAGTGTTGGTATTTTTGTCTAAGAATAAAAGTTTTGAGGAGTTCATAAGAAGAGAAGGCTTGCAGAATTTTGTGGTGTTTTGGTTAAAACTTACAGCTTCACTTAAACCTCTTGGAGGGCTATGATTTGTTTGATTCTCTAAATCATGAGCCATTTTTCAATGCTATAAGGGCTAATGATTTCAAAGCCAAGATGAGGGAAGGATCAAGTGGAGAAGGTCTATTCATTAGAGGAAGGCCTGTAACTCGGAATGGTAGCA